ATTTCTTTGAGGACTTATTTGAAGGTTTTTAGACATTGTAGTGGCTTTGGTTGCAATTTCTCTGTTAAGGGTATTTTTGGAAAATTGATTGTTTGGAGACTAGTTTTCAAATGTTTTTATTTCTTAGACTAATTTGGAAAATTCTCCTTCTATTTAGGCTATTAAACTATATTTCCTCCAGTTAGATGACCATGTTGTTAGATTTAGCATGCAAGAATTTTGTCTCATTACTGGACTACTTTGTCATGAACAATCCATAGATATTTATTATAATAAATCAATACTTCAATGGCGCAAAAAAGAATTAGCAATAGAATGCTTTTTGAAACTTTCCACATGTGTGAATACGGAGAAGATTAATTTATGCTGGGATTAGTTATGTTGGTGGAGTGTGTGTTGAAACCGACTGCAAGACAAATTAATTATAGAACTCTGGGCATGGTTGAACATCTTGATGAGTTCCTTACGTATCCATGGGCGTAAAACATATTTCATTTTGTTAAATTCATTAAAAGAATCACAATTGAAAATAATACGAAGGATGCAACAGAAACAACAAACAGAATGTATGTATGCGGTATGCATTTCAGGTATTTTGTTCCTATTCTAATTATTAATATATTATGTATAATTTCTTTGTACAAAAAATAAATTATTTTCACATATTTATCTTTAATTATGTTGCAATATTTGATGTATGAAGCATTTCCACATATTGGACAAAAGTTTGGAAGCCGTAGATACAAAACGGCACGGAGTCTATGAATGTACAAGTGAAAGCCTAATACAATACTCAAGGAATCGAATGTTAAGGAATTTTTGGATACTGAAGAGGTAAAAAAATTTTCTTTTCAATGTAGAATGATATTTGCATTTAATTATTAAAAAGTTAAATTCAATAGATTGATTCCAATAGTTTATTATGATTATATATCGAAGTCATTGCAGTGATGTAGCCTACGAAAGAAGAATTACAAATACCGTGGTGCACAACTCTTTCAATGCGACCTGACAATGAACATAGTATATTAGATACCATTGTCAATGGAGAATTAGATAATGTAGCACAACCAATACTGGATAACATCCGTGTACAAGAAATGACTAGTCGTGGTACATCAAGAACTTCAACTGAAGTTGGGCCTGGTCTGCTTCTGGTGCCTCCAGATATATAACTGAAGATCGAATGGAAGAAATGTTGGGTATGTACATGCAGCATACGATATCAGATGTGTCCGATCTATGTGACAACTTGAAGGCATAATTTGTTGAAGAATCAAGAGCCCCAGACCATGCGATCTTTGAAAATCAAAAGTAGCTGTTCAAACAACATAACAAATCGTTGCAAAATGACATGCAATCTGGTTTGCATTCTTACATGGATAATTCTCTATCAAGTTTGTTTAGCACTCAGATTGCCCAAGAATCACAAAAACAAGAAGCCCATTATCAAGCAATTCTCCAGAGGCAAGAAGAATTATTCCAACAGCAACAAGATCACATGCGGTCTTATGTTGATACCAGTTTATGTTTTGTGATATCTTACATTGACAAAAAGAATGAGAATATGCTAAACAGATTATCTAACTAGGAATCCAACATGGAAGTCATTATAGGTTCCATGCAGTAAGATGTTCATCCCCATGCAAGTCCAAATCCTACTGATCAACAATAAGAGATGTCAACGTCTCAACAAATTGAAAGTGTTGAAAGGTGGAGAAGAGAAAGGGAAAAGAAAAGGAAATACAGTTTTCGTCATCCACAAGTTGTCCTTTAGAAGACTACGACATGAAAAAGTACAAAAAAATTAGAGATTGGATATCGATAAATTAATTTAGGTAACAAATTTAACTCATTCTTACTAATCTGAATGCTAAACATTATTATATCAATGTCAAAAATTCTCAGTTGATTTATTCGACAGTGATTTAAAATATGTTATGCAGTGTATATATGGACAATGGCAGTGGCAATGTCTATGGAAGAGACATGTTAAAAACTTTAATGGATTCAACGAAAGATCTGAATATTGCGATTAGTGAAGGTTAGCAATGACAATCAATTTGATTTCATAGTTAATATGTCTAATATATGTTATATGTATTTATTTCATTAGCATATTGAGTTGGAGCTGAAGTTATTGTGGTGTCGTATGAATGAAGGTTGTACTCTCGTCAATAAACAATATGCAATTTTGGACTTTCAATTTGAAGAGGAGTGTTCTCATCAAATGAGGTGGCAATTAGACTTTTGAATGAGAAATCAGAGAGGTGAACCAGATGGAACTCGTCTACAAGACTACGTCAATGGTAGATTGCTTGTAGGTGGTTGTCCGTGGATAGGGTGCAAGTATTTATTAATTCCAAACTCATATCCAGGCAATGAATGTTATCTTTTTCTGGTCAATATTCCTAAATGAAAATTTCAGATATACGACTGCAACAATAATGTTCATACACTAGATGCAATCAAGGCACATGCAAAAGTAACATGCAATATAGTTCAAGGATTATTATAGTGTTCACCCCTTTCCGCCTGCCAAGATATAAATAAACATAGAAATGAACGAATGAAGCATGAGATTATACCTTAGCTACCATGTGCGAACAATGGGTGAGTATTTCAACTCTTGTTATTTACTATCGTATGTACTAATTTAGACTAGCATAACACCATTTCTTGTACAGACCAAATTGCGTATGTTTGTACTCAAAAATATAGAATGCTTCATTTTAGAGCATCCAATAGAATCGGTTTCATCAAACAGAATGTCACTATACAGACGAAAGATTGCGTTAGATCTTTGTCATAACAAATACTTTCTTCATCCCCAATAGTGAAAAAGTTGTAGTAGCTAGTTGTACTTTGATTATGTGACCGTTGATTATATTTCACAATCGGTGTCCATGAACAGTTGTTTGTTCCTATATTTATGTGTTTCTTATGCTTGTACTGTCATTCTAGACAAATGTAATGTCAAGTGTTAAGATATGCAAGCATGTAATGTCAAGAATTACACGACAAATGTCAAGAAATGTATGAAATGTCGAGAAATGTCGAGAAATGTCCCGTTTCCTGTTTCGGTACAAATGTTAACGCAGTGTCTAATATAAGTTCAAGTGTCCAGTGATCGGATTACAAATGTCGATAACAACTTTTGAAGTGTTGGAACGACATGAAATGTCATGAATTGCATTTATTTTCCTTTTTCGTTCAACATTTTTCTACTTTTAGACTACACATTTTCCAATAAATACTATTCGAAGTATTAACAATGGAACGAAAATGGGCCAAATGGAGGCTAAGATTGACTGATAGACAAGCAGAAGATATTATGGGGACACAGCATGTCAATCAAATGTAAATACAAGCAGGTGGAGTTGATGTGAGGGCTTTTAATGCAGTAATACACACCTCAGTGTCCACTATAAAATAATAGAATTGGCTTCAATATGCAAGTATGGTTCTTTAAACAAAATATTAACGTGAACAAGTTCTTCCGGTAAATATGTCTTCATCAACCGAATGGACTCCACGTATTGATGTTGTCATGAACGTATCCTTACCTGCTCTTCAGCGGCCAACCCCATCATCATCAACTCGGAAGACGATGAAAAAATCAATGTCGTTGTTCCATATATTCCTCAAGTAATGAACCGCCGTCGTAGGGTTTGCCTTCACCCCATTCCGTTCCCTAATCTAATCGATAAAATTGAGCCGCTAGAAGTTAGAGATGGTGATCATAACATCGATCGTGATAATGTACCAATGGAGGTCCCATCAAAAGCAGACCAAGCCTTGGTGGACGATAATTTCTGGCTTCCAGTCAGAAGTGATGACGTGATAGTGATAAGCTTCGACGACAACGATGACAATGACAATTTTATGTCCTCTTTGTTGGTTTTGAAGGACATGTAGAAGTTTCGATCGTATATCTAAAATGTCTAAGCATATCCGACAACATATGTATAAGTATATGGATAATGGATAATTTTTGTGGTAACGACCAATTTGTATGTGCAATGATCTCGAACATGCACATAGTGGTTTTCTGCTTTTGTTGTGACAACTATTTAGTATGGCCAGTGATCTAAGAAAATGAGTCATGCATGGCTTCCTTTTGTATCCATTACCAAGTTGTATATATAATAACGAAGAAAATTACAATACTGAAGCAGTTATTGACTTTTGTCTTCATGAAATGACATGATAATTAAATTGAACCGTACCAATTACATTTTGGAAACAAAATGATAGAAAGCATGTAATGCTCATAAATCTATTGAACACATAGATAATACATGTTAATGAATCATTTCATACACAAAATCAAACCCTACCGATTACATTTAGAAAGAAAATGATAGAAAGCATGAAATGTACAAAAGTCTACTGAACACATGGATAATCCATGTTAGCAGATGATTTCATACACAAAATACACTGGTAATTCAAGTACACGTGTTACTTCTCCGTGTCGGGTTCCTACATGTTTGTCTGTTGTGTCCGCAACCACCACATTTTTGGATGTTGGTAGACCATTCAGTTCTTGACCTTCTACGTTGGGTAGGAGGGCAACCTGGTACTATACATATATTTGGAGGCAAAATGTTGATGGAACTAATAGCATCCAGAACAACCCAATCTGACTTCATTCCAATGGGGTAAAGAAGTTCGGTGTATGAAACTTGCCAACACTCCGTGGTGTAGTAACGGGAGCACAAGTCGTACGTGATATACCTTTTGAGCACGCTTATACACATGAAATTTGTCACATCTGAAACTCTTGACATGAACATGTCTTACCTACAAGGTTGACAGTACACATTTCTGCACCTATGCCAACATCTAATACGAGTTCATCCAAATTTCGTACTGTCAAGGTTGCATCGACATCAAAAGATTCTTTCAATTTTCCCTCCATTTTTTATATTAGGGTAATATGACAGTTGGTAGATACGTTTCTCCGCTCGAAGAACCATTGTTGCATCAATGTCGTAATGTGTTGGACAAACGAGGTTATAGAGAAACTTCATTGTCGCCTGAGAACTGAAATCAATGACTCTGCAATATTATTAGTTATGACATTGTACCGATTACCAACAAAATTTGCCTGTGACCAGTGGATGGACCAGCACATTCCAAATAAGATGCAACTACTAGCCGAATGGTCCAAATCTCATCATTTGCTGGAATTTCGATACGCGATATACGAGTGCTGTACTTTTGAAAATGAATATGACGTTTCGACTGCTATACCTAACAATGAGATTTTTCTCGATATGCCATATGCAGGCAATGTGGTACGAAAGCGAGAAAAGTATCGTAATTGCTCGCTTAATGTTGTTCTTCTTGTCGGATACAAACACTAACTTATTTGAATTATCGACAATATCTTTCAACATCATGAAGAACCAATACCTTGATACATTTATTTCCTTATCGACAACACCCCATGTAATAGGATATATTTGCATGTTGACATCTTACACTGCAGCTATTAGTAGTGTTCCCTTATACTGACTCTTCAAGTGACTCCCGTCAACACAAAGTCCCGACCTCATGTGCTCTCGAAACCACGTATGCTCGACCTGAATGCTAAGCAAAAGTACAATAACCTGTTATTGGGGTCGGGCTCAATGTGTGTGACGATTCTTGGGTTTCTCTCAGTTAAGATGTGATAGTATAAAGGCAATTCTTGATAACTCTCTTCAGGTGAACCATGAAGAATTAGAAGTCCCTTCTCTTTACCCCTATCACGCTTTACTGTAGCTAATTCGTACACCGAACTCACGTTGTATATCCCCGACAATGCCCGCGGGAACGTATGGTTAGTTTCCATCGGCCAATTGTCTGGTAATGTGATGCTCAATCAGTGCACTCGTAGCATGAATTTGTGCATTCCATTGAACGTCCAAAGAATATGTGTGCTCAGGTATGTACCTTCGAATCTTAAAGAAGTTTGTACTTTTTATCTTTGAGGCTCGCAGTAACCAATGGCATGTGGTGTCGACACAACACAGAGTAAAAGATCTAGGATTAGACTTTTTAATCTTGAAATGAAACTTCTCTATCAAAGCATTTAGTGAAAGCCTTGTGTGCAGTTGTTTCTTGGTAAAGAATATCTGATTCTCGTAAATTTCCTCTTGATTGATCGATTGAATTGTATTTTCAATATAGAAATTCCCTTTACCTAAACCTGTACCCGCGTTATGAATCATTTCTGGCTCTTGTAGTTTGCACACACTAACTGCGTCGCGTGCATCTTCTATTGGAAAGGACGTGCCATCCCTAACATGCAATTCTTGCTCTCCAGCATTATATTCATCTGCAATTACACACAAAGCTGCTTGTGTGTGAACAAAAATGTATCATTGCAAAGCCTCATTGTCGGTTACATCAACAGGGGGTACGTTCATGCTTGGAACTTTAAATTTTAGTTGAATCTGAAACTGCAGTCAGTCAATATTGAGCTTCTCAAATAATTTATGTACAAACTTTTCATATTCAATATCATGTCGGACAACAATTGATATTGTTCGGTTGCCTAACCACTTGCACTCGACATCAATATTGACGAATGTACCACCGTAGGAGACGACGAATTTCATAACATCAACCATATCTGCATGCCATAAACTTGTTAAAATAGTATGTCAGTTGCTACTTTCTATAAATGTTATTTTGACAAGTTCTAACATCTAGATTAGCCTGTAAAATACTTTTCTTTTATTAAAACAATAAATGCAATTTCTTAACAGTAAGGAAATTGTCGACAGAATTGTTACAGATGTTGGTCATTTTCTGTTGGGTCAATTTTTTATTTTTTAACATTTTCCAATGGAAAATCACCAAGTGATATCTATAGCAATTTTGATAGCACTTTTTCGGTACACATAGCAGAACTATTTTCTTAAATCAAATGAATGTCTTATTGTGATGTGATGTTGAAAGTTCTAATTAGCCGATTGATTTATTTATTTAGACCCGACATGCAGAAATAAACAATTAAAAAAGTAACAAGTCACTTTTAATCATTTCTTGGGAATTAGTCAATGAAGAATTCTTCGTTCTTTCAATGTAACTTCGTTCCGTAACGCCAAAACTCCTAGCACTTCTTCTCAAAATTATAATAACTGTAAAGGCTAATCGGCGAAGGTAGGTTTTGGTGATTGATCAACGATCTTCTTTGTTTTGATATGTGGTTGGATGTGAATGTTTATAGCTCAATCACCAAATCTAAGCTCGGATGATTCTATGAATCAAATAATATGGTGGTTTAATCTTGAAATCAATGAAAGTAATTTGAATTTTCAAATGAATGATCTCAATGGAATAATTATGATTCATCACACTTCGGAATGTTCATAGAGAATGATATGCATATAAGAGGAATTGAAAAATTAGTGTTTGAAGCAAAACAGAATTCCGGATGTCAAGCTATCGTTCGAGCTCTAGGCTAGTGCTAGACGAGCGGCAACTGAGCAATTATCAGTATTTTCATTGTAGCTTTATCTTTCGGTATCGGATTGAAATGATTAAAAATGCGTTGGAAAATAGAGTCAAAGGGATACAATTCTTCTAGAAATAACATTCTCCGAATTTGAATGTTTTTTTATGTGAAAAATGTGTTGCAAGTTGTGACTAAGAATTTAAAGCATAACTTATGCAGCTCTCTGCACCCTTTAGACATTTACTTGCATTCCATTGATCATATATGATTTTCTTGAACATCTTGACATTTGAATCCTTCAAGACTTATACTGTCAATTCTTAACTATTTTGACTTTGATTATAACTAATTAAACTCCTAATAGAATACTAGGACCTGATTTTGACTTAGAAAATTGTCGATTACAATTTGGACTTAACAGATGTGACAACTGACACAATGGAATGACAAAAAAGATTCATGTAGTCTACCTACGAATTTATTGGGACTAAGACTTAGTGCATTGTTCAAGTGTGTCTTATTGTAATGTGTGATGGTTATATTCCTTTGATTATAAAAGATGTTTTTGTGCATCAGGCAATCGATTCAAATTCTGAACTCATCTGCATTCATGATTCTGCAAAACCTCTGGTATTTGCTGGTGATGTAGCCAAGGTTTGCACATCAGCTTAATTTGTATCATTTTCTTCCTTGTGACTTATTTTTTTGGCATTGATCCTATATTTACTGAAAATAAAAAATTAAAAAAAAAATTAGATAAGACTTTCTCTAACAATTGCAAACAGTTCTATGAGTTGTCCCCATTTTCTATTGCTTTGGGTTGTCATTCAATGTAAAATGTGCTTCATTTAGAGCATCTTTGGATAAGCTTAAAATGCTTACTATAAGGAAATAAGTGTAAAATTATATAATTTTTGTTATTGGTCAAAAATGAAAACAAGAGTTACTTATTTTGATAGTAAGGGAAGAGTAACTTTTTACTCAAAAGTAAGAGAAAAGCAACTTATTCAAATGTGTGGGGAAAAAAAAAAGTTAAGCCTCCGTTTGGCTAATTTATAATTTATATTTATAAATGATCAACTTCATTTTCAACCACACATTTCAATGAACTCACAAGAACAATTCAATTATCCACCACTCATTTCTGTCTATTTATAATTCTATCGAAACGCATGCCAAGTAACTTTTGCTTTTTAAGTTTAGCCAAATATACTGCTCTAACCTACCTTCACTATTATTTCTTGGTGCATATAATTTTTAGTAGGAAAAACGTGTTCACTCACTCTTTTGGTTCTTTACCAGGTTCTAAAGGATGGTTGGCTTATTGGGGCAGCTGTCCTAGGTGTTCCTGCCAAAGCTACAATCAAAGAGGTCCACATTTATTTTCTGCCTCTATGGTCTATACTAAATGAAACTGGAAATCTGCCATTTTATCTGTATGATTTTAAAGTTTTCCATTAGAACCATGATTATACACTTCCAATAACGTATGACTCTTGTCAGTCCTGGGTTTCCTTATTATCGCTCTCATTTCTCATATAACTTGGAGACATCACTGTATATTTATTTGTACTCACGAGTATGATATCTTTATTTCAGGCAGATAGTGAATCTTTTGTAGTGAAAACTCTTAACAGTAAAATGCTCTGGGAAATGCAAACCCCTCTGGTTTCTAAATTTAGCATCTCAACTTCGTCGAATATATGCAGAAGTTTATTTCGCTGAATTTATTGAGAGATTTGTAAAACCATCGAGCTGTCGCTATTTGTGGAGGTTATCAAGCCCGACTTGCTCAAGAAAGGCTTTGAACTTGTTAACAGACGATTCTTCATTCTCGGTGGATAATTCTTCTTTATATTATGTATAAGTTGACAGCATGTTAAAACTTTGTGATAATGTAGGAACACCAAATATACTACTTTTGCACCAAGGATGTAAATGCTTAGGAATGCCAAGTGATTCTTTGAACTTTTAACCTTCACTTAAATCACTTTCTCAGCATCAGTAGTTCATATAAATGATTATTCTTAATGGAAGTGAATTACAATTTTTGAGACTCGAAAAGAAAACTAAATGAATGTCCAATCCGAGTGTTGCAATGTTTTAATACTGCACGTATGACGATTATGTGCATATGTTTGTTAAGCTTATTTACTCGTAAGTATTTTTAAGCATAAAAGTAAGCATATAAATCAGAAATAATCTAATAAACACCAGTACTTATCTTATGTTAAGCACCGACGACTTAATTCAAATTCACCAATAAATTTATATGACACTTCATCTATGCTTAACATAAAATATACCTTGTGCCCGTTAGATCATTCCTAGCACATGAATACCTTTTTCTTAGTCAAAGTGAAAAATAAGTTACCCCTCTACTTCACTATGAAAATAAATAAGTTTTTTTAACCTATAATCGAGAAAAGAGTAGCCCATCCAAACATATTTGGCAATAAAAAACTTTGTTACAAAATGTAAATTTAACATTCTCTTGGGCAAACATGTCATGATAGCCAAAATGTTGCAACATGGTTCCAACTTCCAAATGGTATAATATCCTAGAATGTTTGAAAACGTAAACAAATTAATTTGTCTTTATGTGATTAATGCCCGTTGGAAAAAAAAAATGGGGTTCAAGATATAAATTTATTTATTTTAATTTTCTGAATGATTCCCTTGGTTCTGCAGGGTATAATATAATTTAGGGTACACCGATCCACCAAAATACAAACTATTCAAATAAAATGCTGTCAAATTAATATTTACTTGCTTTACAATCAACAATCCTCAAATATACTAAAGATGTCAAATATCTAATGAGCCCATATGAACTTTTCTGATTTAAGCTACACATATCTCAAAATAACACATAATATATAATCTAATAAAGGATGTCATACACCTATGACGCGTGGTTCAATTCGATGGTTCGACAGGCTCTAAAGCTGCTCAATTCGGCCTCTATCTGTCTGATAAAAAAAAAAGTGAAAAAATATATGAGCTTAAAGCTAGTGAGTGATTAATTTGCAAATAAGTAAACTTTTCTCATTTACGCATATTTCCGAAAATTTTTGCTCTATTAAAACTTTAAAATATCTTGAAAACTAGTAACAATTTTAACTAAAATATGATTAGATCATAAAATTCTTTGTTCTTTATTCTAGTTCAATAACTATAAAATATAACGAATATAAATAATCTGCTATCCATAAAAATCTGTGAATTATTGATATCCTGTATATATTACTGAAGGATCCTATACCAACATCAAGGTAGTGAAATAATTTTATGAATCATCTGAATTTTCTTAGATCTTCTTTTCCTTCATAATTTATATATAAGATAACAAGAATCTAAGACCTTAATATAGAATAATATTCAATGACCTGAAAGACATATTTGCTTCAGTGTGTAGCAGAAATTAATGTACTTATACTACTGCACAACTTACAGGTTACAACCCCTGATGATTTGTTACTTGCCGAAAGAATGTTGAATCCTGTCTCTGCAGTTTCAGCCCATTAAATCACTTGTGTTCGTTTAAACCGTTTAATCCCAATTTTGAGTTTTATACGACTTCTACATTATGAGGAGTTGATGATTCGAGCAGAATTTGTTCCCTCGTTTAGTTTTGCCTTGTTTCTGATATCGTTTTGGTACCATGTTCTGCTAAAAATGAGCAAAATTACTGTGCAAAAATATAGTGCCAAAACTTCCTGTTGTAGCTAACCTCTGTACGGGAGCGTTGGTGATAAACAAGAGATACAATGCATAAGAACTTGGAAGAGAACTTTCTTAAACTTGATTATCGTTACAAGCACTTATGAGTAGAAGTCACCGGTCAAAGAGAAGTGTTCCCAATGTGGACAAATCTCTTACCGGTGATGTGACTCGATAAAACCAGTCTTCTACTTGATGGGGTTCTTAAATCACCATGTCCACAATGCGAGCTTCCCGAGAAGAGTTGCTTCTCTGACACTACCTTTATAGGCATCCATAGTAAAACCCACCCTTAAAACTAGAGTTAATAGCCCAAATGATCACTAAACTTTGCAAAAAATTTTAATCTGATCACTGAACTTTAAAAATCACCGAAGTCATTATTGAACTTTACAAAATGTTTTCACAAAATCACTAAACTTTGCAAAATATTTTCACAAGATCACTGAACTTTGCAAAAAGTTTCTATTGGATCACTAAACTTTAAAAATTATCTTATTCATTATTGAATTTTGCAAAAACTTTCCTCAAGTTCACTGAGCTTGGTAATCCTTGGGAAAGTTTTTGCAAAGTTCAATGACCCCATGAAAACATTTTGACAAGTTTAGTCATGAATGAAGTAATTTTTGAAGTTCAATGATTCCGTGTAAACCTTTTGCAAAGTTCGGTGATGACTGATTGTTAAAGATCAGTGACTTGGTGAAAACTTTTTGCAAAGTTCAATGACCATTTGAATTATTAACCCCAAAGTGTAAAAATATTGCAAAGAGGATCATAATGGAGACTAAAGGAAAAATGAAGTCCCCCACTTATATTGATCCCATAAATTGGCCGGACCTGAAGAAATGCAGGACCATAACTGTAATAACTAACATCAGTTTTCCTCCACTGTGCCTCATATTTATAATTTCTGAAAAAAATGGCTCAGTTGAGCCAATAAATACAGAAAATAATTATAATAAACACGTTATAAGTTAAAAATCTCGAAATTTCTACCCTTCTCTATTATCTTCTGTATCTATTGCCTGTTGTTGATTTTGCACACTCTCCAAACCACGAAATACGTCCACTTCTGTGTGCCCCGATGGGGGGGCCTTGTTTAACCTGGTTTAAGATATATGTTTAAAGGATTTTCTTAAGAAAAAACTGATTTTCTATATATATACGCGCGCACGCGTGTTGAAACAAATGCACTGGCCTACCTTTCCACTTCTGGGAGGTCTGGTGTTATTCCAACAGAAGAACCCACTGCAGCCACCTGCTCCTGATCCTGATTCATATCCACTGATGAAGATGACGAGAAGAGTATTAGAATTTGACCAAAAAAAAAAAAAAAAATCCAAGAAGAGAAGGCCAAATTCATCTTGATAAATTTGGTCCAAAATTATAATGCCATCACCTTTCTTAATAGCTCAGAGATCATCGTTCATCTATATCTTGATTTCTAGGGTTCATACGGGCAAGAAGAATAATTTCATGATAACTCTTTAAGTGAAAATCCTACAATAATGTGACTTAGAAAGTGAGGCTATATTTAGTGTGATTGAAATGCTATAAAATCCAATGACAACATACTAGCACCTCTAACAAGAGTAGAGATCCTATAAATATGTGACTTAAATTACAGTGTTTCTCCAAAAACAAAGCTCCATAGAATTCTTCTGAAAGCCGACTTTCAAATTTTTATCAAATTAGAATTCAAAACTCATTTTGAAGTACACAGAGCTGACTCAAACTAACACCAGTATTCTCTAGATGCCTTAATATTCAAATTTATTACTTGGGTTTCTCTAAAAATTACAGATTTACACCTATTGCTATCATAACTGTTAATATGCGACTGGGATTAAATACCAAACAATTACACCTAATACTCCATAAATTGCAAAGCTTAAATTAATTGGCTAGCATAAGATTTGATTACGGGCAGATAACTCACATATTATGTTCGTTGAAATTGCTTGCAAAGCTACTGTTATGCAACAAGCTTGGAGAGATGGGATAATGATCGTTCCTCTTAACAGTGTGGTCCTGCTGGGGTGCCGTTGCCTCATTAATCTTCAAAGCTTTGATCTCATGATTCAGCTCATCTTTCCAATGCTGCAAGGGAAAATCTACAGAAGTCAACGATTCCATTTCATTTTGATGATCAATGCCATCCTGAGGCAGGACTTGATTCTTTTCGGGTTTTAAACGATTCAATGATCCAGGAGTGCCTTTCTCCATAACCTGTAACCATGCAGTTTCTAATCTCTGCTCGCGTATAATGGACTCAATTCTCTGCTCCGGAATTTCTGACTTGCTCATTTTCGAACTGCTCGGTTTACCACTTTGAGCAGCAGACTCAAAGGCTCCAGTTATATGATCTTCAGACTCATTAAAGCTTCCTCTTGAAACCTTCGATGGCTCCCGACGTGAATCAAGATCAATATTACCTTCAATTTTATTTGAGCATACTGATTTGATGGTTGTATCCATCTGCTTCTGACAAAAAGAATCTGGTAACATTATGATCTTGACCTCTACATTTCGTCGCAAAACTATTTCAAACGAGTTCGTGATGCTGCTAAGAAATCCTTCTGCTCTTGTCTTAATATTATTATCCGTAAATGCAATGTAAGCAACAAAACCACCTGCAAACAGAAGATGTAAGACCAAGGAATACTAAAGAAAGGAAAAAGTTCTATAAGGTTTAATTAATTCAGAGCATGTTCAAGACCCACTCTCTTTTCCCAAAATGCATTTTGGAATAGTATTTTGATGGAAAATGTAGGGTTAAAAAATAAGAAAAAGTTTCGGATTTGCCCGTAATATTCTCTTTTTGAAGAATGTGATTGAAAATAAGAGAAAGAAAAATGTATTTTAAAAATAATGTGGACCAAACAAGGGCTCAGTAATTAAACATGCCATCACTAAGATCACGTCACAAAATATGCTGTGCTTAATACAACTTTCAGATAACCATGATTTCCAAGACTAGTCCATAGTAAGAAATACTGCTTAAAAAGACAGGACTTACTGCTGTTTCAAGTGCCAGGGATGAAAGAGTAGATATAAGCAAAGAAAGACAACATATATAGCTTATTTGGCACTCAAGAAAACATGTATAGCTTGTTTGGCACTCTTTATAATTTATTTATATTTAGTCAAATATACTTCTTATCCACAGAATCATGAGACCTACTTATCCACCACTCAATACTGTGTATATAATTTAAACAGACCATAATCACTTCCCCAACATGCACATAAAATTTAAACTGATTATAATCCACATATTCAATGGTTCCTTGAGTTTCTGTTAGCAAAATGCTTACCCTTGACTTCAGATATTGACATGAGCTGTCCGTATGAGTGAAGCAGTTGTCTTAGAGTCTTGGAATGGCACTTCTCAATGCACTGCACCCAGATATCAGTGATAACGTTCGAGTCCACGCATCTTGATGTAGGTTTCAATGATTCCTCATTGATTAATGAGCTTTGACTGGGATTGGGATTGGAATTGAAATGGGCAGCATCAGTCAGCAGAAGTAGATCCTCTTTGCTCATTAAATCTGACCGAGCAGCTTTTAGAAACGATGTGGGAGACCCCGATTTTTTATGTGCCAACTGAGAATCCAATCTACAGTTCTGCGCAGTAGTTTCTCTAAATGAAATTGGATAGTCATCAGTTGTCCTGGAACTCTGTCTTCGACTACTTCCTGAGTGAGTAGGATCAGGTGAAGGAACAGAGCCCAACTGTAAGAGGGTTGCCGTAAACCATGTTGATCTTTCGCTTGAAACTCTCAGATGTTTTTCCGCCTCAGAAAGAAGTGTAAGTGCATGTTTCAATCTATCTAACTCTTTTTCAGATACTGAAAAATCAATCCACATTTCTAGTTCCAGTTAGAAATATATATTACCAATAAAAATTGCAGTATATAGTAAAGAAATGATATGAAAATTTTCATTATGCTTAAAGACAGCACAAAAGACATGTTTAGGCCATTTATAGTAGGCGAATTCTTTAAAAGGGCATTTTCAAGTTTCACTAGTCAAAGTGAATAACAGCCCACTTCTTAAATGTTTCGTAACAGATCTTCTTTAGACATCAAATGCCAAATGCACCCCCACTGCACCACATCTGCCCACCACAGCCACTCTCCTCCCCACCCTTCCCCAATTCTGCACTCAGGAAAGTCTTGCATTTAAATTGGTTGAAAAAGAATTTAACAATCATCTCCCAATCTGGAGTCATTTTATTTTCTGGATTTTCACATAAGCTTTTCCTTTTTCATAGCATGTTTAATTCGATTACGCCATTTTTTTGAGGGGTTAATAAGAAGAGAACGCCATGGTTCTTCACTTCCTTGTAAGATTTGCTTTCTGAGCAGAACGGCTCATTTTGAGTTCAACCTCGCTAAATAGGGACCGCTGTTCCTTCAAGAGACACATAAAGAAAACATTTTTCGAACCAAAGACGGCTAAAAGCAAAGTTGTTATTTGAGAACAAAAGCAAAGCAAATTTTGGAGGCAATAAGAAGGTTATGATAACTTATACACCACTAATGAATTTGTTAAAAAGATACGAAGAATCCCTAGATAGATCACATGACAAGCAGGTTTTCATCTTTTTCTTTTTTATTTTTTTCCCATTTTTTGGGATATAGTAGCACACTTTATTACGGTTAAAAGAACTCCGCATTCGTATGAATCAAAGACTCGTATAAGTTCAAGCAATTCGACAGTCTCACAAGACAATGCGAAAGTTTTTCTTCCAAATTTTACACCTTCAACGAAGATGATTAATTGACAAGGAATCATAGTTACAAGAAAATGCCGCAAACCCAGGACATTTATCTACAACAAAGAAATGCTGCTGGAATGGGTCAAAGGGATCTGGTGTTGAAAATCATTGAGCCTCTGTTTGTTTCCCATTATTTGGCCATTAAAATGAAAAATATGACCATTATTCATCACATTAAGCCACCATATTTGAATTTCTATCTTGTGTATGGGATCCGTAACGACTATATTTTTCATTCTCATTCTTACATAAATGGGAAACAAACGGGGCCTATATAGTTTTTTATGATGAACTGAAAACATTTAACACACAAGATGTCTAAATACTAATAGAGTTGAAAAACTATGGATGAAAGTTAAATCTCTAAGCAATAAGCTAATAACTTGAGAGGACCAAGAAGATATGACATTATACATGCCAACCACGTGCACCCATAAAGTAGATGCCTTAATGTTTGCAGGAAAAAAATCTCAAATTAAAGAAACATCACTTACACTTGAGCATTATATTATGCAAGGAAAAAAAAATTACTGCTACCAAAATTAATCCTCTCAACAAAGTGTTCTGTCAGTAGAATTAATTGGCACATTAAAGAACGACTAGCACAAAGGGACATGGAAGCTACTATTTATACTTGCTAATATACCACCAACTATCCAGAAGTTGTCAAATTCTTATATAGCTAGATGCGCAACCCACGTGAAATTTAAATTATAGGGATCAATTTACAACAATGAAACGCAAATCGCAACTTTAAGGAAGCATGAAAACGTGGCACTTACAACTTCTCCCTCCAAAGAAAGAATCATTGTTCTTGGCATCAATGTTGGGGTAAGTTCCAGCAATAATATCTACAATAAGGGTCGCCATTTGGGACATTAAAACAATTGGATCAACCCCTGAATCCATCAACTCTCTGGCTCTTTTCACTGTTTCTTTAGTGTTTGATGACATGGCCAACTCCAAAAGGTCCAGCAATTTTTCATCAGAAACTACACCGATCTACAGAGAACAAAGCTCATTAAATAAATGGATATGTATCATTCAATGAATAAATAAAATTATAGTTGAAGCATCTGCATTGCAATAAATTAGCTGATAATGCACTCTCATCACTCCATTAGTCAGAGAATAATTGTAGAGAATGCAAGAAACGATAAAATAATCGCCTTGACCTTTCTTGCCATGTGTTAATTCTTATTAAAAGTATGTTGATGCCAACAATTAGCCAAAAAAAAAAATTCATCAGAACAATAAGTCATTACACGGATATAAAAGCATGATCACTAGTAGGAAAAATCGGTAAGAAAATAAATAAGTAGATTTAAAAGCAAGAAAATGAAGAATCCATTAGACTAACCAGCTCATTCACCAAGGAAGTGGTGATACTTTTCCCTAACAAACTCAATTGGTCTAACATGGTTTCTGCATCTCGCAGTGAACCATAAGCATTAGAAGCAATCAAATCTAGTGCATCTGATTCAACTATTAAGTTCTCATCAGCTGCAATTTTTCTAAGCCGGGTAACAATGTCACCGTCTCTGATTTTGTTGAACAGGTGCTTCTGACACCGGGACAATATAGTACGAGGCACATTGTCAATATCAGCTGTTATGAGTATGAAAATGACACGTGGCAGTGGTTTCTCAAGAAATCTGAGAAATGCCAGCCACGCTTTTGAAGGTAATAAATGACATTCATCAACAACAAAAATCTTGTACTGTGAAACAGCAGATGGGGGAACCACTGAGAGGTTCCTCAAAAGCATTTTAACTTCATCAATTCCCTTCTTATTGGATCCATCAACTTCTCTAAAAAACCCACTCTTGCCAGATATGAAATCGGCACACTCACTGCATACCCCACAGGGCTTGGTCTCTTCGGTGGCAAGACAATTCAAAGCAGCAGCAAATATTCTTGCAGTTGAAGTTTTTCCAGTCCCACGGGGACCTTGGAAAAGATAAACGGGGGAAATCCTTCCCCTTGAAATTGCGCTCTTGAGAGATTGAATGACTATATTCTGCCCAATCAATTCCTCAAAAAACATTGGCCTGTATTTCTGGCTTAAGCTTCTCATATTTTCTGGAGAACTTTCATCATTTACTTTTCCATTCAGAGCTACTAGCTCTAACCCTTCTTGACTCCTACAGCTTGAAGACCACCTCCTTCCATCCAACCGACTCAAGGCCTCCAAGTCAAGCTCTCCAAAGTTTGTAGAAAGCTCGTCATCACTGTTCCCACTTCCCATAGATGATCCTCCTTGGCCGTCACCGCTGTTGGTAAGCAAAGGAACAATACCTTGAGAGGCACCTTTTGAACTAAGTCTCCGTTTGTTCGATCCCAAAGATGAATGGCGATACCTTCTTCGGTACATAGTTTGACTTCCACAGAAAATACTGCTTCCTTTCCTCCTCAAAGTGTCGGAAAGAGATGGTGAATAGCAGTTCCCATATCCACCCCTAGATTTTGGTGTTGACCTTTTTGACCAATAACAAGGAATCCCACATCCCTGTCGCCCCGGCATATCCAACTCAATTGCCTCATCATCTGCATCATTGAAAGATGCTGTGGTGGCATCCCAAGACTCAACAGTGCTTGGATTCCTGATGCCATATTTATTATAAGAACAGGTTGACAATGCCGGCGTACTGTACGAAATAGAATCATCCTCTTTCCGGTGACTCCTCAAAAACTTCTTTGGTGAATAAACCCAACCCTTACTCTTAAGCCCTGCAAGCAATGGTGAGATCGCAGACACCCTTTTTAAATCCTCAGAATTACAATAATCCTCAGTATCATCAGACTGATCAACTAAACTTAACAATTCATCCCTCCCTAAACCCAAACCGGTCAAATCCTCCAATGCCTTTTTTGTGCCTCTACTCATTAAAATCTGTTTTTTCAATTTTTCATTATGATGCTTCAAAATGGCGTTAGAATTATTCCTCCTCTTTGACTTTTTCTTAATTGTGTGCTTGAGAGATGGTGTAAAATTCGTATCTTTACACTTAAAACTAGCCGAAGCATATCTATCACTCAAATGAGTATCACTTTTCGAATCATTTGCCCCACCACCATTCTGTGCATCGCTCAAGCTATCCATATCCACACTTTCTCCCCGGGTCCAAGATGACCCTTCATCCTTACCATTCTCAACATCATCCTCCGCAATCTGCCTACTCCTTTCGCTCTCAGATTTTTGACTTCTCCAATTACACAAAAACACCCTCCTTTCTTTCTCTTTCCCATTCACATTGTCATTATTATTAGCACTGTGACCATAACTAGTATTATTATTTTCTATTTGCAACTGGAGTTGCGAAAACTGTTCAGAGGATGAAGCAATTGCATTACCATCAATTGATTCACGGCGGCCATTCTTGTGGTGGTGCGCATAGTGATGCTTGGCAGAGTTCTGAAGGGATCTCACAGAACCAAGCGGGGACCGCCATGAGGAGGTGGTGCCAGGATCTCTTAACACCCGAGCTGCCTTCCGAATTTGGGTCAATTCTTTCTTCAAATGCAGATTGCTTGGATCAATCCCACCACCACCACCCGCCATTCCTCCACCTCCGCCGCCGTGCATTTCTAATGACATCATTTAACTGCAAAACAACACCAAAATACTATAATACAAACCAATCCCAAGTTGTATACTGACAAGAAAAACCGTGTGAAAATTAACCGAGTGGAATTTGTTCAATAAATGGCAGATCTGACAGATTTTTTTTCCTTCTTTAATGCAACATTTATTTTTAACGGCTAAAAAAATGGTGGGCTGAAATCGAAAGTGTAAACTAACTAGCAGTAGGGTTTTATTGAATGAAGGGGATGGATGAAATAGGAACAAAGAACGTATTTTTTTGTCGAGAGGGTGGGAACTGTGAAAAGGGATTGTTAAACTAATAATTTTTTCGCAGAAATCGAAGAAAATAAATGGAATGGTAAAGTTTTCCCTCCTTAAAAGGGTAGACCCGCTTAAGGAGGAAAAATTTAGGGGGTGGCTCCAAAGATTCTCTGGCAATGAGTGGGGTTTACTTCTTGTTTCTGATTGCTGTCCTTCGCTCTCTCCTTGCCCCTTCCATCATTGCTAGAGTGCACCTCCTTAGGTCCTTAGGATTAGCTTAATCTCATTTATAATCACTTGACTAAAAAAATTATTTTTACTGTTTGTAATAATCTCTTTTTTAAATACTAGTTTTCCACCCGTACAATGCACATGCTATGTCATTTTTTAAATAATATTACCGTATCAAAATATCTATTTATTTCTCTCAATAAATCTAAAAATTTGATTACTTGTTACGTAAAGGAATGAAGAAAAGAAGTATATATTTTTTTTTATAGATATTGCGTAAAGAAAAAGGAGAAAAGTAGAAAAAATAGTATAACAATTTATAACCTATATAAATTATAAAGTGATAATAATTTTATTTGGAAATTTTACGTCCAAAAAGAAAAATAATTGACGTCACACACATAAATTTTTTTTAAAAGAAAATTATGTAAATTATATTGAGAAAATTATCGCGACAAAATAATAAACATTAATAAAATAATTGATTTTAAAAAAAAAAGACGAGTTATACGTATTTTTTAACACACACGTTTGATGTACGTTTAACTATTTTCGATATTCATTTAAATCATTCGATGTGTCTATAATATAGTTTTCGAAATGAATTTCAAGAGAACATAGAAAATTTATTGTAGATTTTTATAAAATAAAATAAAAACTAAATAAATCATCAAGTGAAAAAAAAAATTATCAATCACCCAATGAAAAAAAAAATTGAAATGTAGCATCATTTATATATATATATATATATTGTTGCGCATGCTCCGTGATGCACGGAGGTATCACAATAATTTTTTTTCCTTTGATATATTTTTTTATACGAATCTATTTTGTAATAAGTTTTTATATTTTTTTAATGTCAAAAGAGACATCATTTAATAAATTAAGAATTTCTTTAATCAGCTAACTTTAAAAATTTATTGACTATTGTACGATCATCGAATGTATAAATCTTTTATATTTTCTCAAAACTCATTTTGAGAACTATATTATCGACACATCGAATGATCTAAATAAATATCAAAAATAGTTAAACGTATATATTAAAAAATACGTATAATTCGTCTTTTTTCTTAAAAAAATTAATTATTTTATTAATATTTTTTATTTTTTCGCGACAATTTTCGCAATATAATTTATATCATTTTATTAAAAAATTATTATGTGGTATGATGTGAATTATTTTTTTTTTTTTTACATAAAAATTCAAATCAGGCAAAACAGCAACATCACTCACGCGTAGGAAGACCATTAGTAGTAATTTTAGGAGTGAAGTGAGATATTATGAGATATTCAAGGGTAAAATAGGAAAACACAAAATACGCCCTGAATGAATAGTGCTTGTCACATTCACTCTTTTATTGTAGTATATGTCAACGATTGTACGGTGGTCGAATGCATAAATCTTCTATATTCTCTCGAACCTCATTTTGAGAACTATATCATAGACATATCAAATCATTTAAATAAATATCGAAAATAGTTAAACATATATCAAACGTGTGTGTTAAAAAATGCATATAACTCGTCTTTTTTTAAAAAAAAAATCAATTATTTTATTAATATTTGTTATTTTTCACGACAATTTTCTCAATATAATTTACATCATTTTCTTAAAAAATATATTATGTGGTATGACGTCAACTATTTTATTTTGGACGTAAAAATTCAAATCGGGCAAAACGACAGCACCACAATGTTGAATATTTTTAATACTCAATCGAAAAGATAAAGATTAATTTAGTATGGATATTGAAGGGTAAAATAAGAAAACTCAAAATATGTCATGAATGAACACTAATTGGCATATTGCCTCTTTTATAGTAAGTTTAAAAAAAAAAAAAAAAAAAAAAAGAGTAGTGATATTTATGAGATGAACAATAAGAAACCAATTGGGAGTCAGATAGGTGTGAAAATGAGGTACTCATAAATGAATGGCAACCCCCACATCCACTCTTTTAAGGTAAAGGGATCATTGTTATAGATATCATAATTTCAGATTCAAAATTTTAAACTTTTCTTGAAATAGCCATTGTTGTAAAATGTTATGAAATAATTTATGTGATTCTTTAAAAATAAATAATGTCTTCTATCGTTAGAATAACTTGAACTAGGTCAGATAAAATGTGTAAATGAGCCATGAGGTTCATGATTGTCTAATCCAACCATATTGTTCATGTTTAGGACGGGTTATAGTGTGGTCCAACATGTCTGAAAACGAGGGGTATTTTAAGTTTGGCTCTTCGTATTCTTTGTTTATTATTTTTTTTTTCGAAAAAGTTAACTATATAAATTAGATTATGTACGGAGTTTGATGTGTTAAGTCTGATAGAGTTCGTATCACGCCTTGTTCTTTTGTATGTATTTAGCCAAGACATCTCTAATAATGACAAGTCGAAAATGAGTTTGATTTCGTATATAGACCCCTTAAAGTTGGATTCGAATAATTGATAGAGATTTTAAGAAATTGTACTTTTTTCCTCATGGCAACTGTCCATTCCTAGCCTTTCTTTTCCTGTGAAAGTATTGTGTACTTTCATTAACTCTTTACTCCCAATTCAAACTCAAAAGTTTGAAAATAATGAGGCACTGGGCAGCTGGAAATGGTCCAAAACTTCTTAGATTATTGAATATGCACTTAAAATATATGGGTCAATCATATATATAATAGTATTATTTGAAAAATATGTACTTAAAAAGTAGAGAAAAATTTTGAATTTACACGTAAAATTATTTTATTGGGAATATGTAAATGGAAAGGAGTTTGAAAAAAAAAATGAATTTTTATATAACATGATTCAAATGAAAGCGAAAGAGGTTATGAGGTGCTAATTTTAATAATAATCGAGATTGTATATATAAATAGAAAAGATTCAATCATTTTCAGAAATATACGTAGCTATCATGTAATAAGTGCAGGAGAAGTGCCAACATATTCGAATAATTTCCCGTTAGGCAATTTCAATTCATTAAAATGAAATTTATGACGTGATATAATCGTAGAGGAATGATTTAGTCCCTGATTCGCTTTCATCTTTTAAAACTTATTTTTTAATTTATTTTCAATCAGAAATTTCATGAAATTCATAACTTTTATCAACTTTTTAATCACTTATTTTTTAGAATCTATTAAAAATATATTTTTTATCAGAACCAAACAAAGATTAATATGTACCGGTGAAACGACATATGAATTTATAGGTGAATAAACTTACGGTGGATTTCAACATTTGAATTTGCTATCACTCAATGAATTGATATAACATATTATCCATGCTCAATATAATATGAACGCTGGTGCTCATTAAATCATTTTCTCCAATCGCAACTCATTTGAGAAGAGTATTTGTAGAAGGATGAATATATTGTCACTACAAATTTTTATCAATACACCCACATTTTTAAATAATTTTCTTACTTACAAAAATAAATATAAATGAAATGACATAATTAACCCTATAATTTTTTCTCCTCTTTCTATTCCCTCTTTCTTTGAATTTTCTGTAAATTGTCAAATCCAAGTTAAGTCGAAAATCTTAAAGTATTTATCATGTTCTGTGGCAGAAAATAAAGGGATAATTCTCCATTCGCTGAAAATTTCTCAGCTTTCAAGATTTTTTCTTTAAACTCCACCTGATAAACAGCTTATTCCTGGAGAGATAAACTCTTGGGAGGATGAGTACACCACAATATTGTATTTTGTTTTTCATTTTCATTTTTATTGTATCAAGAGTATAATTATAAATTTATTGTAATGTATTTATTGAAAATTGGACAATACTACACGTACCGAATTTTTTACTTACTACTCACAATAAAAATGGGGACTGTGGATTGACATTTTTAAATTCACGTGGAGCCCATCATATATTGTGAGAAGGGGGGACACCATTTGGTACCTCTCGTTACGTACAAATGGAATTTTCCTTGAAAATATATTTTAATTGTAGTGTATTAATTAAATTTTGTGGTGTAATATATTTATCCATTGTAGAACTGAATGCATTTTCCAAAGAAAAAGGGCTTTGTAAATAAAAGTTGATTCTTCTACTCATCATCCCTTGTTTAGGGAAGCACGAAATGAATTGGTTGTACCATTCCACTAAAACAAATGGGACACAATGTAACGATGACACCTAATTGAAAACAAGCAATTCAAGTAGATGTGACTTATTTTTCTTTCAGTAGGTCTTCTAATTAAGAAAAATGCTACACTCTTTTTGTCAACCCTCACATAAAACGTGGGATCCACGATTATTTTAATTGCGGGCCCCACCCCTTAATGTGAGAAGAGGTTCAACCGTGTTGTACCTGTAGCATTTCTCTCTAATTAAATTTTAGTCAGATTATGCTAATCTTTCTCTCTCCTCAAAAATTTTATAACAAACAAGTTCTAATACTTTCTCACGACTTATTCAAAAGTTAGCCCTCTGAAAAATACTGGTGTACTAGCTACTATTTGTTGAATAATGATATTCATAGTGAAAATTATCGGTATTTGTCATACGAGACATGTACATGATAGCTTGTTATTTGATGTATGAGGTAATAAAAAACTAACATATTAATGTATAAAATAACAAACTGCCATATATATACCTCGTAGAATAACTATCGATAATTTTTACTATAAATAATATTACTTCTATTTGCTAGCATTGCATATAATGGCACGCAATTATGTCAAATTAAACAGCTAAAGTAAGTACAAAGTTGTAGCCATCAATCATAATTGAGGCCTTCCATCAATAAAACCTTTGCATAATTTTATTTCTTGTATTGAGTATAATTTATTACAAAATAATTTAAAAGGTTTCTTTAACTTTTAAACCCTTTAAGTTGCACATTTTCAGTTAAGGCAAGTTAATCGATTTGTATGGAAGTTTATAGAATGAGTATCATTCTTCTATCAACAACTATAGTATCAAAACTAGATTAATTTAGAGTCGAAGAAGTGAATTGTTTTAAATCACTCTGTTCGATCCATCATTTTGCCTATAAAAATTAAAAACCTATCGAGTTTTCATGAAACATGAGGTGGTAATTTTCTGTTGGCAAAGTACAATTAAGTAGTTAAAATAATTTCTATGTACACTTATAGCAATAAACACAAGTAATGAAGGTGAAACAATTATTGCTAAAATAGAGTAAAATTATAAGAAAACGTTATCTGGCAGCATTCTTTTGTGAACCTTAGGTTTACCTCAATAAAATATGCAACATTGAACAATTATAGGTTAAGTACTACATTTTGCCTTCAAATTTTATATATAATACTTGTATTGTATATGCTTTTTGTTTCTTTTTTTGGCAACTCTTGGGCTTGTAATTGGAAAAATAATCAAATAAAGATAAAAAGATATACAAAAAAACAACTAATATGCGAGGACGAAAACATATTTGAGTTGTTTTCATGGGGCACGAGTAATGATTGAGATAATTTGTAAATTAGAAATCTACTCGAATCTTAGCTAGTATTGATGTGAATAGTAATTAACGGGAGTTCGATATCAAGCAAGCAATATATTTCGGAGGTTTAGGTTTTAGAAAAGTGGGGGAATTATTTGATAGTGTGCTCATTGTATTTTTTTCTTGTGTTAAAATTTTTTAATTATGATGGTTAAAACTTCTTTATTGGTATTATCCAATATGTTAAATTCCACATTTTGGGGGGATTTGTTAAGAATGTAGACTTCTAGCCAAATTCATTGGATGTCTATGGAGAAGGGTACCGATCTAGGTGTCACATTTAATAGGTACAATTAAATAAAGATCATGCTACATGTACAAACTTTTTTTACAAACTCCCTTACTCACTACTTACAATGGGGGTGAGGATCACAAGCCGACATTTTTTAAATTCACGTGAGGTTCGCTAATTTTGTGAGGGTGAATACACAATTTTGTCAACAAGATTTTGTACAAATATCTTTATCCATTAAGACATGTGTTTGTGTGTTCGAATGAATCTATTATTTAATATAATCAATGTTGCCACCTAAATTAATGTTAAACAACCCGATATGCTAAATTGTACTACTCTAGACAAGGTCTTTAGATTCTTTTATTAAGACCCATGTTGGTTTGCTTGTCTAGACATGATTAATTGTTCTTAAATCTGTGGAGTATTCATGATTCATATTAATAATGAAAGGATGATGAAGCCAAGCCAAGCCAAGCCTTTTATAGGTCAATTGTAGAATCTTGTGCTTAGTGTTGAATAGTAAATATGTACGCATATTTATTCACTTAGAACGTCAAATATAACGTGATGTGCGTCTTTCGAACATATACAATATACTTAAAGAATGAAAATATATTTAATCGGGTTTATAAGGCTTATCATCAACATGATTGTGCATGATGATCTTCTTACCTAAAAACATTCGTGTGAAAAAGTGTAAAATTCCAAAAGAAAGAAAAAGAAAGGTAGTTGCTCTATCTTGTCAACAAGTCCACAAACAAGATATCATTATTCACTTTGTAAGGATAATCATTCAATAACATGAATTTGGAATATAAGTAAACAATAAAACGCGTTGAACTGTCAATTTTTCAATCACTTTTGTCTGTTTGTTTGTATTTTTTCTAGAGAACCTACGTTGTTTACATGTAAATCCAAATTTTTTTCTTATTTTTTAACTACATATTTTCTATTCTCTATCAAATCAAAATTTAATTTTTTTTTTTTTTTTTTTTTTTTTGTTTGGAGAAACAAGATTTTCTCTATGAACAAGTTTTAATGATTCCAATTATGCTCTAGGAATTATGATTGAGTTTAGAAGTCTTTATGAGTTATGCAAGTCTGTTAAGAGAATAAATTACTTGTCGTTTCAAATACATACATACGTATATCTATTAAACTCGTCCTAACTTCCATTAGTACAAATGGTTGTATATTTGCTCCACTTGCAAAAGATTTACTAGACAAACATTAACACGATTATATCAATTTTACATTTATCAAAGGTGGCTCAAGTAATTTAGAGGCATTAGCCAAGATTTACGGACCTTTTCGTAAATAACAATAAAAAATTAAATAGAGCAAATGATCACCAACAAATTTTCTATTGATGATTATTATGATTATAATAAAATTTAATATATATATGCCAATGATTTCGAATGAAATTGTCAGCATATTATGCCCTTGTTTGAGCCTTATTTTTGGGTGAAAATATATCTTAGAATACTGTTTTGTAAGAGAAACGTATGATTAAACAATAAGAAAAATTTTGAATTTACTTTTAAAAATTATTTTATTGGAGAATGTTTGGCCGCAAAGGAATGTGAAAAGGGCATACCTTTCAACATCAAGAGGATCCCACATCTCTTTTGATCCAATCTTAATTATTGTTGTCTGCCAGATTGTTATGTAACTAACAAAACATTACATAGTTAGAAGCATTATTAAGGTCTCTATCTTCCTCATGACCACGTGATATAAGTCAATATATAGATTTTATATACACAATATCAGCACTAAGTGATGAATAATTGTCATTGTTTTTGGCATAGAACATGCCACAAGTGTCGTATCCAGTGTAGCCCTTGAATGGTTTGAATACTCGTGAAATGCTAGGAAAATCCATTGCATAAAATTGTTCATATATATCTAACAACTATTTAACACAGTCAATTACAAGTAAAAAAAGTTATATTATTCGAGTACGGAAACTACTGCATGAATCTCCGACGGGTATAAAGTCCCTCTTTGAGACGTATTCTTTAAAATTTATTTTTTTCTCAAATTCATTTTCAATCATAAATTCTACTAATAAAATAGTTTTACATGTAATTCAAAAATTTTCTCTACTTTTTAACTACACATTCTTTTAAAATAAAATAAAATAAAAAAACCCCATTTTTTAGAAGATTGAAGTTCACTCAAGGTCTAAGCGTCTGTTTGATTCCCATTAAATTATATTTTATTAAATTCTATTTCTTTCTCTCCTATTTTTTATCACAAAATCTTCCATAAAATAATATTACACGTAAAACGAAAAATTTTCCTTCATTTTCAATCACTCATTTTTTCAATAAAACACTATTCCTCCCATTCTCATTACCAAAAATGGGGTCAAACGGGGGCTAAATAACTAAAAGAAGTTGAAAGTTAGAGTAATATTTAATTCACTGCTTTTATAACACCGGTCTAGATAGTACCAAATGACAGTAATGTGTCACATAATTTTACTTTTAATTGAACTTATCACACACACAGTGTTACCTAAAATGTTGTTAGATAATATTATTCTAAAATTTATTATACTGTTCAATAATGTACAATTATGAATTCTCCTCATGACCCACCAAAACACGGCGTTTGTTTTGACCTGCCTGCTCAAATACTATTCCCAGTTTGAAACTTGCACGCTACATGACGAAGTGCAGAAATGAAATGTGAATCCTGATGCATTTGTCTATTCATCATTGATAAGAGCTTTCCCACGATAATTGAAATCTAGCCTCCTTTTGAACCCTATCCTGAAAATGAAAATGGAGGGAATTGTATTTTTTAGAAAAATGAGCGGTTAAAAAAGATGAAAAAATTTTTGATTTACGTGTAATATTATTTTATGAAAGATTGTATGATTGAAAATAGGAGAGAGAAAATGAAATGTAATTTAATTAAGCTCCTGTTTGATCCCCATTAAATTCAATTCCATTACATTTCATTTTTCTCTCTCCTATTTTCAACCACACAATCTTTCATAAAATAATATTACACTTAAATCGAAAACTTTTCCTTCTTTTCAACCGCTCATTTTTCTAAAAAATATTATTCTCCCATTTTCATTTTCAGGTAATGGGGATCAAACGGGGGCTAAATTTAATGGAGATGAAACGGGGGCATAGTGCAATTTCCTCATTTTAAATTGGCTACCGATTGATACATTATTATGTACGGGGAAATATGGGCCTACTAAGGACAAGTTTGGCCCCATTAAATTAAATTTTATTTTTCTCTCCCCTATTTTTAATCATACAATCTTCCATAAAATAATATTACACATAAATCGAAAAATTTTCCTTCTTTTTCAACCTCTCATTCTCAAAAAAATAAAAAAAATACTATTCCACTCATTATAATTTGGAAAAATGGGGGCTAAGTGGAACCAAATAACTTGTTCGATGAAATGACTGAAAGGAGCGTTGCGACTTTGAATGCAAGGCTATTGGAATTAGGAACTGAGGAATGAAATTGAGACAAGGTGATTTCATTTCAGGCTATCGTCAAAAACAGACTAGGTTAAAGGGTTCAAGGCTAAGATCCCGATGAGGCGACTTGGATAGCAGCTACAAGTAAATGACTGAGACTCTTAACAAGGTAAAACATACACTAACTACAAGAACGCGAGGGGTAAAATGTCTCCAAAATCACACTCAAAAGGAAAGCACAAGTTTTCTTCACGAATATCCCTAAACTACAAGTAGAAGTTCGAATAATAGGAATCTGAAGAAGTTCACAACATTTCGATCCCATCAGAATGTATTCAAATTTATAAGCTTGACGCTGGCCACCTTCGATTTCGACTTCTAAAATGGTAGATTAAACTCTAGCCCTCTTATTACTGCAAGTGGGGCATTTGTACTGCTTGATGTGTTCAGCTTTAGCAGGCGTAATCTTCACACACTTTCCATGGAACCATCTCTCGCACACATCACAGCAAATCCAGAATTCATCAGCACCATAACTCTCTCCACAAGCTCCACATATTGCTCCTTGCTCATCGTCGTCTTCTTCCTCGCCACTTTCCTCCTCATCTTTGGGTGCAGAAATCTTAAATCCCTTGTGCTCCGAATCAGGCTGACGAGACTGCTAAAGGAAGCAAAGCCAGTTGAAGGCACATAATTAAAGCTAGTGATGAAGAGCATGTTCCGCTAAGCTTAAAAGTGACAGAAGTTATTTTTAAGTAACCATTTTTTTCCTTACATTAAAGTAAAATAAATAAATATTTCTAGTAACATATTTCAATTTTGACCAATAATTTATTTTTATTTTTGTATACCATCAATATGATTAATTTTTAAGGTTGGTCAAACCAACATGCTCAAGCCGAAGACAGAAGTGTGAAACAACTCTTACCATTCTCCCACTAGATTTGCTTTTACTGCTGTTATTTTGAGAGGCTGCCTGGTCCTTGACCTGCTTAACGGCCCCCGTCACGACTTCAAATACAGTAGGTACATCATTAATCATCTGGAAAAGCCTCTTCCTGCCAAAACCGATTTCCAATAAAAGCTAGAAATTAGAATCAGAAATAGATGACAAATACGGACACTAGAGGATTCGGGTCTCCTGGCAAAACATGAAAAGCCAACATCCAAAACCGATACATTTGTTAAAGGTGGCAAGAAGACTAAATGTCGTAAGCTTTCAGATGGAACAGCGATCAAAATCCAGATTTGAAAGATGGTCCCCTACATAACGTTTTAATGTCAGTTACAATAGTTGGAAAGTCTGCACTTGTGCCAAGAACCAACCCATAAATAGAAATTCACAAATGGTTCCTATCAATGACAGCACGAACTCCTAGGTAGTTTAGCAATCTACATCACTTCCCATCGTTACTTAAAAAGGACAAAAAAAACTCTATAAACAACACGATTGTATCTGCACAACAACCCAAAAAATAATAATAATAATAATAATAATAATAAAATAAAAATAAAATAAAATAAAATTATTCCAATAAAAGTTAATGACCTCCATGATACCTTTTTACAAGTAGAGAAAAGCACCTTTCCCCATATGCATAGTTATTCACCAGATTAATGGGCAAAAGAATTTACTTGTGCTTAAAAAACTATCTTATGAACGTTTAAAACTAGAAAGTAAGAATATTATACTAAAGAGAAACGCTTCAAACTTGATTTATAGAAGACACATGAAAACTGAAAAGGATCAAGTAATGTCAGAGATAAGAAAAGGATACCAAAAGCACTGGGTTATTAGTAAAGAGATCTTGATATACTGAAAAAATAATATCCTCACTTTTCCTTTATCATTGCAAACAAAATTTTGTTGTGTTACATAATTTCTAGAAAACAATAACTCAACAATGTAAAATTTCAGAATCACTAGATTGCAAAACTTTTGAGCTCAAATTATGTTTTAGAAATAGGAAGATTCCATTTGAAGATGGAAATTGGCCACCAAAACATGTGGAGCCATCAATCAGTTTCATTGTAAACTGGTTAGTGATAAGAAAAAAAGTTTGGACCACAATTATGTGTGAGTTTAATGTGAAAAAATAATGTACAATGATGAAGAGGAGAATCAAAATTTTAAAAAAAAAAAAAATAAATAAAAAATCCGCCAGATGAAAGACTCTCAATGGCTTGCAAAATTTTAATGAAGCAACAAGTACAACGAGCATGCATAACCCAGAGACCTTAATAAGTCACAGAAGAAAGTTTCAGGATGCAAGTGCAAGCAATGAGGAAAATTCAGAGGTGTACACATACACAAGTAAAAGGTCGGGTGGTCACACCAAGAGTACAAAAATAGAAGAACATAATAATACAATTCAAGCATCAGGTTACGGAATTAAAATAACAATAGCTACAGCTAAGTTAAATTCAACGTAAATAGGAGAAAGGAATACTGTAGAATCTAAAGTTAGAAATAGGAGAGGAACATAATTTCAGTTGGAAAGGAACACGGGCAAAGCAATAGACTGATCACAAATAAAGAAGACCAAAATGACTTGATCTACAGAAATCAATAATCTTACAAAGCATTTGAACACATCTGATAACACAATAAAAAAGATCGTTGTTCAATTAGCTAACCCAAAAGTCTAGGTGAACTTATAAACCAAAATCTAGAGAAAATTATTCTTAAAAAATGTTACTGATCACCAATGTAGTTCACCAAAAAGGTAAGAGTACTTACCTTTCATTCTTGCCAAATCCAAAGCGTGCACCAAAGTAGAATGCAACAGAAAGCAGCCACGAGTCACTGTGAACTGCAACAAGTGATAACCAATCCTTTTCTTGCATGCCATCCCTGGCAAAGTTTATTCCTAATGCTGGCTCAGGTAGTTCAGGAGGAACCTCCTCAACAGGCAGGTTGACTTCCCATGTCTCATTTGGAAACCCATACAGACACAGATTCTCTTTTTCTGTACATAAAAATCTATGTAGTCAAAAACAACAAAAAAAACCCCATATTTGTATTTACTTCGTCAGAACCAATATTTTATCATAACTCCACCATGAACACCACGAAAGGAAGGCATAATAAAAGACAATTCAGAGATCTTTTCATGTTTTTCATTCATAAAAACATTATTTTAGTTTATTATTCATTTTTCAAAAACCAATGACTGAGCATTGAAGAAAATTGACCATTAAGAAGATACAAAATCATTAAAATCCATATCTTTCACTCACCAAAACACTGCATCCTGACAAGCAAAAGACAAGAATACAGAGAGTTGACTTGTAAATTCATGGTATTTGATGGGCACTTTATGTGTCCACACAGCGGTTTGTTCTTGGCCATGAATGGAAGATAAAATTCTATAGCAGCCCTCAGTAGCAAAATAAAGGTCAACAAATTGTTTCAGATGAACACACCAGTTCTAAAACCAAAGCTGGTCTAAGAAAGTGCCAATGCTATATAATGCATAGCATGTAAGCAGGTAACCATGGCAAGTTCTAATTTTATTATCTTTAAATTTCAAATGGTTCTCTCCTGCCTTAAAAGCAATCACTATAGACTAAAAAATTGTTATCAAAGAAGGGAAAAATGCGCCCTGAGCCTCTAGGTGAGCCTTACACCTCTCTTGCAGGTAACACCATGAGACATTGCATCTTAATTATTGTGCGTTTGGATGGTAGGCAGGTTGTAACCTTGGGGCAATTCATTTACGTCTAGGTTCAGATATCTAGCTCGTAATTTTTTTCATTTAAAAAAGAACAGAGCTAGGCTTAAGTTAAAATATCAGTCTTAGAGATATTTATGTTGAGCTTGAGCTTCTTTATTTACTTCTAGGTCCAGAGTACTGTTTCCGAGCCCAGAATTGGAAATATAAACATAAAAAATTCTGAGCTCAAGAAAGAAGTAGATTTTTGCACTTTTTATAATTGGGCTTCTTTATTTACTTTTGGGCTAGGGCACTCCGCATAATTCATAAAAATGGGCAACTTTTTTACTGCTACTTCGTATCGTCAATGGGCCTGGAAAACTATCCTAACAAATCAGGCTTATGCTATATGAGATGGCTGTTTTCTCAGCCCCAACCTTAAAGAAAGATCTTTTGCAATTGGGTAAAGATCTACCACTAGTGAAATGATTTTTGTCTTACAGCATATAGGCTGAAATAGCAAAAGGTAACCCAAGACTTGTGAAGTGCAGTGAGGCAAATTACTCAGCCAATAATTGTTAGGAGGTGTTGATAAAGAAAGGGAATAGGAAGACATTATTAGCAATGAGGAGGATGTTAGGGACAAAATATGCTAACGACTATTAGGACATCCTACCAGTGATGAGGGGGGCAGGTGTCAACGGTGGATAATCTTCGACGAAAAGGATTTTATGTAACCGAGTGGTGCTATATGTGCAAGAAGGATGGAGAGACGATTGATCATTTATTCATTCATTGTGATGGTGTACGTTGGCTTTGGAACAGTGTTTTGGTTTCTCAATCAATGGATTGGATGCTACCTAGGCGTATAGAAAACGTGGTGCGGGAATGGAGGAGAAAACTTCACGATAAGGCTAGCAAACTTTTCTGGAATCTTATCCCGAGATGCGTTGTATGGTGCATATGGAGAGAACGGAACGATCGATGTTTCGAAGACCAAACAAAGACAACAGAACAGATAAAAGAATTATTTTACTTGGCTTTGTATACTTGGTTTAATGCAGTGGCTAAAAATCCTGTTGTAGGGTTGCCTAATTTCATGTTGTTCCTTTTATACTTAAAGTGATTGTATACCTCCCGTGTACTCTCTTTTAAGGAATAAAATTCTCTGATTACCTATCAAAAAAAAAAAAATTGTGAAATTCTTGTGTTACATATATTCATTGATATTTGTTATGAGGCTTATTCCTCCCTCGCGAAGGCAAAAACTCAAATATTACTGGCAGAAATAGCAGAACTAATCTAACTTGAAATCGTTTGATAGACGTAATATGATAGCCTAAATAATCGCAAAATCAAAAGCACCATAAACTTTAGACATTTTCTTATAAGATAGTGAAGAAATGTCAATCTAATAAAGAAACCAAGCACTAAAGAAAAGAATTTTCACCCGAAGATAATGACATAATCGCTTCTCATAGCAGCAAAGAGTACAGAAGGAAAAGTTATTCCAAGTAGACAAAACTTTTGATTCCCAACACCCAGAACTACAACCTTTAGGGAAAAAATATTTACATCAGTTACATTCTGCCAATTTTCCATGGAGTATGGAACTGCCGTCCAATTGTTAAAAACCAAACTACACTTTTCAACAGCTGACAGATTAAAGGGTGGAGAGACACAGGTAGTATAAAAGACATAACTGAAATCTAAAGCAGGCAACTTAATTGAAACTTAGGGCAAGATTCAGAGCTTCACTTTCAGTGAAACATATCCTTCAGGTTTCCATTATGGAAACAAAAAGCAAGACAAAACAATCGAAAAAGCCAAAACTATGTATAGAATGAGCAGATAGTGATCAAAATGAGAAAAAACAATAGCAATTAAACCGGCAATAAACGCTCTAAATTCACAGCATAGTAATTGACAAAGCAATGGAAAGTAATATGGATCTAAATATGCACAACAGACCCAACATTTTTCTGCAGAACAATCAAACTAACTTACCAGGATCACACTGCTGATAAAACTTCTCAACATCTGCAACAACCCCAATTCAAAGACATGCATCAGAACAAAAGAACCACTAAATTTAATAAAATAAAATTTGAGAAGAACAGAGTGTTGTAAATTTATTTTTCAAAATAAAAAGGGATGAAAAGGGATGATGAGAGAAAGATTGGGCCATAAAAATGGCTTATACGTCCGCATAAGCCTTTGAGGCTTGCGGTTGCATGTGGAATTTCAGAGAAATTGGAGGCAGCCAAAGCTATAACTGCGACGGCATAGGCTATAACTATGCGGTCGCATAGTTATAAAATGTGACCATTGGCTGGAATTTTATTTTTTTTTTCTTTTAATTTATGGCGGTTTTCTTGGTGGAACATTGCATCTCTTTACTTGAGTTGAAACTAATATGTGTAAGGATAGTAGAATCCTATAAATACATGGTGTGTTCATCCCTAAAACATATGAAAAATCTGTTTACCATTATTCATTCAACTTTTGCATAAAATTTTGTCCTCTACATATTCAAATTCCTTTATTTTCACTTGTTCATTTTGAAGATCACTTTTTACTTTCGGTGTTCTTCTTTAGGCTTGATCAGTCCTGCAAACTATTTGCCATTTTCAATCCTTAAGAGAGGCAAATATCGTTTGAGGAGAACATATAATTTTTCTTGTTCAAGTCGGTTTTATCTTTGATTATTGTTATCTTCTACTTTTTTCTCTCCATTGTTGTACATTTTTAATAACACGGAGAGGCATAAACACGTGTATCCACACACTCATACATGTATAAACACGTAATTACATTCAGAAACGCAATCCATAAATGTTAGTAATATATATCCACGTAAAAAAATACAGTGTTAATGTACGAAAAAAGATGAAAAGCTGCTTGAAAAGATATACCAACGGTCAGGGCTTTGATGAGACCGGCTCGACGGCCTTTGAAATCATTGAAGACTTCCTCTACAGTTCTCGGTATCGGAATTCCTTCCATTCTCCAATCTTCTCTACACTAATTAGAGAACACACAAGAATCCCCCCAAAATTAACGCCAAATCTGGCAAAATTAACCGCAAATCAACCAAATTAAGATTTTACGCAAGCGCTAGGGTTTCTTCTTCATGGCTCCTCAATGATTACAAAAATAACAAATCGAATTTCGAAAATAAAAATATAGATTTGTCTGTGTGTGAATATATGCTTGAGTGAAAATCTGAGGAGAGAGAGTAAATAGCGGGAATGAGTGAGAAAATTGATTAAAGCCCTAGAAATGCTTTTGATTTCTTGCTCAATTTGCTGTCTTCAATTTATTATTATTATTACATTTTTGCCCTTCTACTGTGTGTACTGCGTGCAAGATCTAAACTGGCGGCAAACTTTGACTGAGCTCAAAAAAAATTACTGGAAAAAAAAAGTTCCATTTTAAGTTACAAGTAAATTATGAAAATTTTTAAAATAAAAAATAGAATTTCATCAGTTAAATTGGAAATAAGGGTCTGTTTGATTGTAAAGACGGAATTGAATTGAATAGAAAATGAATTCCATGGAATTAAATTGCCTAAAAATTATATTCTTAGGAATTGTAAATTATTGTATTTGATTGATATAAATTTTCACGTGGAAAATATTGAAATAAAAGTTTTTTTTATGTTCGTTTGACTTTATTTTACATGAAAATTGTCAATTAAATGAATAGAATTTACTGTTGTTAGAGATTAAATTTGTTTCCATTGCTAAAAAAATGAAAAAAATTCAATAAAAATATATATCTTTTGATATTTGTTTGGCTTTGTTTTATATGAAAATTATCAATTAAAGGGAGATTTTTTTTACAATAATTTTTAAAATTTGTTAACTTTGGCAACAAAAAAAATTAAAATAAAAAATACATATATGCTACAGTAACTGGGAAAATCAATTTGATTTTCCTTAACAAGCTAAAAAAGTCCAAGAAAACATGGAACTTGAATTCCATGGCAAAAAAAAAAAAAACATGTCAAACACTTGAAAGTGGGAAAATGGAATCCAATTTCTATTTTTCATCGAAAAGATTTGCCAATCAAACATGGCCTTAGTAAAAAAAAATATATTTAAAAGTAAGTTCAGGTTACTTTCAAATTTAGCTTTTGTCTGGATCGATTATCAGCAAACTGAAAATTATTACCATTATAATTTGAAAAGCAGACGCACTAATTGACCATATTTTTGTAGAATTATGATCCCACATTTAGTTTGCTTTGTTTGCAAGAAGGAAAATTATGATAATTTACCAAATGCTTAGTCACAAATTACGACTGGAAGGAGCTCATCATACATTACCAACGATCCAAATTTCAATTAAAGTATTGTAAAAAATCACATCCCAACAAGGGCTTAATGAAACATGCTTTGTGCCGTTGGACAAGTTTGATAAGTTTAATTATAAGTAAATATTGATTTTAGAGCAATTTTTTTTTTTTTTTTTACTATGTGAATTTGAATAAGTCGACTTGTAAGTAGTTTTGTGTTTTTGCAATAAAATTAAAAATGATTATAAACAAATTGTGATGTATTTATATGAGCGGTTAAAAATATTTTTTATCTTAAGTTTAACAAAATAACGTCATTTTGTATTCATAAGACCTAGGTTTTCCCGTATAGTATGGCATTTCATTCCATTTTAACTACATGAAGTTAGGATTGCTAGTAACCGTGGTCAATTCATAGAATAGCAATTAATTCATACCTACCCAAGAGAGTTTTATTAGAAGAGCTTTTAGGTTATTGTTATTGTGCAAAATCATTTTCAATGGTAGTAGAAGGTTTAATATATTCGCAGACGAGTAGAGAAAAAAGTACTCGCTCTATGTTTAGCTCATAAAAACTAGTTTTTGAAGTATAACTTCAAACTCAAAACTCTATAAGATTTTCACTAAGGATTCGTTTGATTGCAAACATGAAATTTGGGTAGAAAAAAATTCTAGGGAATTGAATTATCTAAAAATTGTTTTCCTGAAAATTGTAAATTATTGTGTTTGATTGGTATAATTTTTCAAGTGAAAAATGTTGAAATAAAAGTGTTTTTTGGTGTTCGTTTGATTTTGTTTTACATGAAAATTGTCAATTATAGAGAAATTTTTTTTACAATAATTTTTAAAATTTCTTTTTATTGCCAACAAAAAAAAATGTTAGAATCTAAAAAACCACCATTCTCCATGGGAATTCATTTTCCCTCGAAAGTTGGAAAAAGTGTCCACACGGACACATTTTTCCGTGTGGACACTGTTCGTGGAATTCAATTGCCAAGAAAAAAGGGTGCATCAGACACTCAAAAAAGTGGAAAAATTGGAAAGGATTTCCTTTTTCTATGGAAATTCTTTGTATCAAACGGTGCCTAAGACACGTAATATTTCATTGAACTATTGAACGAGGTGGCACCGTATTTGTGTTCCTCTCATTCCTTTATTATTTTTGCTAAGACATTGCAATTGAATTGCAACAAGTATGGTATCTAGTTATTACACGTTGGTTTAAGAAATTTATTTCATAATTTATTTTACAATTGTAATTTTGTCAAGCAATTTCAACAACATTGAATTTGAAGAGTATTAATCCCCTGTTTGAGTTCCATCTTGGTAAGAAAAGGTATTTAGAAATAGTAATTTTTTTGGAGAATATGTTATTAAAAAAGAAGGAAAAATTTTCGATTTACGTGTAAAATTATTTTAGAGAATGTGTGGTTAAAAATAAATTTTTGAAAAATGGGAGTCAAATGCAGTCTAAATAAAATTTTTGCCTTCCTTTTGCAATTTGTTCTTTACAACTCGCATTTCTTGATCCATAACATGAATAAAGGTGGTCTAGACGTGGATCGAGTTGGATCCATTTTGGACCAACTCGATACCAATCCACCAAAGTCAATTTCCAGTTTCTTTGGATTGCCAATTGGCCACTTCATTTTTTCTTAGGGCCTGTTTGATTGGTCACTTTTTCATTAAAAATGAAAATTTTCCATCAAAATGTAGTGTTTGATTGCAATATTTTTTTTGAGAATTTCTTTTCTACCTTTTCCCCCCACACATGTGCATTTTTCTTGAAATTGTGGAAAACCAATCCCACTATTTTGGTGGGAATTCAGTTTTCCAGCTTTATTTATTTATTTTATTTTATTAATTTTCAGCAGTAGGGATAAAATCTATTAACAATTGTAAAAAATTATCCATTTAATTAACAATTTTCATGAAAAACAAGACCAAACAAATACCAAAATATCCAAAACTTCAACATTTTTTAGGTGAACAATTAGACATATTAAAACATTTAATTGACAATTCCCAAAAAAACAAGTTCTAAGCAATTCAATTCCCTGTAATTCGTTTTCTTTTCACCCAAATTTCATCCTTGCAATCAAACGGACCCATACCGATTTTACTCGAGTTAATTAAATGACACATCATCAATGTTTATATCTGACTACTACGTGCTCGCTCAAGAATAAAAAGTGTTCGCCATGAAAGTGAGAACCGCAAGTACACGGATCGCGTTCAAGTAATAAAGTTGACTTTTTGAATCCGAGTTGTCGATCCCTCGATGAATGTTTACTTTAGATTACACAACTTTAATCAATTTAATTCTAAAAATAAAAACAAATACAGACAATTAAAATTATGATTTCAAAAAAACGAGAAAATAACTAAAAATTATACTGTCTTGGAAATTTCATAGGTAAATGTGATTGGGATTCATGGTTTCGCTTAATCGTCGGCCAATTGATTTCTTCATAAGTCAATTAATAATTTCTTCATTTACGATATTAGACCCGATTTTCCAATTTTAATTAATTACCTCTCTCGAGCGAATTTAACCTTAATTGATTAGTTTAACCTACTATATCTTTATGTCGATTAAAACCAAAACCACGGCATTAAATCTTTGTGAAAATAGCTCATTAGATCACCTAAGGTTAAGTATACATCTCTATCCATAGTCACTTTCAGTTATTATCTAAATTAGAAAGATTTTGTCAAGACGAAAAAATCTTCAACTTGGCTCCAACCTAACCCTTTGTGGTTAAATATTCCCTTTCTCGTTCATGAGATTTACACTTCTCAGACAGCAAATCATTTTCTTTTACTTGGGTGTAAATCTAAAGGTTACTCTCAATTCATTCATTTTCTTCGCTCTTGTTCGGTTGGACCTAATCAGCAATCTTAACATCTAGTCATGTGATGATTCTCTATTAATAAGTGCTTCCACATTAAAACTTATATTAAGCAATTCAAACTCACTAGTTATCTAAGCCTAAAGATCAATTACAATTGCACCAAATCAAATTTGTTCTTTCTTTCTTTCTCAATTAAATCATCCATGTTGATCATCTTGATATTATTTGTATCTAATAGATTTGATTATGAGCATAAATTTCAAATTAAAACTTGTATTCGCAATCTAAAGTATCTAATAGATTTGTATCTCAGTTAAAACTTGTATTCGCAATCTAAAGTTTGCGAAAGTATTACTCAAATTTTAAATTATGAGCATAAATTTCAAATTATATAATCAACATTGTGTCTCGTTAATGATGCTAGGCGTAAATCTCAATATTTTGATAAGTGTTAGTTGAAATGTCGATAAATAGTTTAATAGTGTTGTTTGTTAAATGCTTCTAATTAATTTAATCGATAATAAAGTACTTCCATTTTTGTTTAGGGAATTCTATTACTCATCATGCCAACTGTAACATCCCAAATTTTCGTAAATCTTGAAGTGTTACCAAAAATTCACTTTTCTTTATATTAAAGGAAGAACAATAAAAATAATTTTTTAAAATAAAATAACATAAATATCCATATATTTAAACAAAACATAAGAATTGTATCTTAAGAAAAACACAATCATCTAACTAATTAAATAACATGTCATAGAATGAATAAAACTAACTAATAAATTGAAAGATAAAAAAAATTTAATATTTATTTTTCCTTCGATCCACTTGACAACCCGCATCACCATCTTGCCACAAATCCAAACGATCCGATCTAACTTGTAAAATCATTGTAAAAGTGGATATTTAAAAATACCCAGTAAAATACGTACAGTTTCCATAGACAATTATACAACAATAAAATAAACATTTCGTACCACATTTCTCTTATGGAATATGTCGTTGAACAAGCGACACCCATCATTAATCATTTTGAATTCCCGAATGCTTTCATATTTCGTTAGGTCAAACCCGAATGTCCACTGGCAATTCATGCATAAATTACTGAATACAAAAGCCCGATTTTCCAATTTTAATTAATTACCTCTCTCGAG